TATATTTCTAGGCTTCCACAGTTTTGGTTTGTATATTCATAATGATACCATGAGTGCTTTAGGGCGTCCACAAGATATGTTTTCAGATACTGCTATACAATTACAACCAGTCTTTGCTCAATGGATACAAAATACCCATGCTTTAGCACCTGGTGTAACAGCCTCTGGTGAAACAGCGAGCACCAGTTTGACTTGGGGAGGCGGTGAGTAACTGTGGGTGACAAAGTAGCTTTGTTACCTATTCCATTAGGCACGGCAGATTTTTTGGTACATCATATTGATGCATTTACAATTCATGTATATTACAATCGAAAAGAGTTTTCCCTATTTAATTTGTTTCTAAACCTGTTTTTTATCCCGTGAAACACGACACGGCCCAATTCTTCTTCCCCTCCGAAACGACGTCGTATGATTGAAACTCACGAGTCAGTCACGAAGTTTCCTTCTTCGTTGAGAGATCAAGTCGGCTTTACGAAACGATTGATCTCTCTCTTTATTGGTTTCCTTTTCTTGCTATACTCCAGAGAAAACCGAGAGAAAAATTCTCTTGTTAGATTCTTCCCTTTTGCTCGAAAATCATCCAAATTCGTGATTGATTTTCCAACTGGAAGAATCTATCTCATCGCTTTGTTAACCTCAAGTTCTAGGGCTAACGCCGATCACACACAGCTCTAGGTTCTTCGCCGAATAGTAAGACTACGCTAACCCTAGGGTTCTCGGAGGAGTGAATCGTGTGTATTGTTGATTCTAGAGTTAGCTCAAGAACATGTTTTTCTCCGGCGATCCTTCGACTCGGAAGCGAGTCGATTTAGGTGGCCGGAGCACCAAGGAGAGAGATGCTCGGAAGCTTTTGGAGCAGACCAGAATGGAACGAAATCGTAGGTTGCAACAGAAGCAGCAGAANTCAGCTGCCCTCAAAATTCAGGTACGTGGATTTATCCTGTTCTCATCTTTAAGAGTAGAATGGATTTAAAGGTTAGGTTTTTTTGGGACTGTGGGGTTCTATGTTTGTTTTCTGAGCAATGTAGAACAAACATTACTGAGGAATAAGGTTTGGGTGGAATCTAAGAGCTTAAAAATGTCTACTTTTGATAGCTATTGAGTTTATTTAGATATTGAGCCCACTTTTTCCTCCATAGATTTGGTTTCTTGAACAAATTTATCTCTTTAGTGCCTCCTGCGGCGCAGGTTTCGTTTGAGTAGTGGGATTTAGGATTTAGCTATAGCGAGATTACAAATTGCTAGCTGGAGCTGTAAATGCAACATTGGTTTGGTCTCTAATGTGGACAAAGCTCAGTTGTTTGGCCAAAGATAAATGTTGTCGTTTCAACCGTTAATGCTCCTTTTGATGGGCAAGGTTTCCTGACTGCTTTCTGGCTACAGAAATTCTTTAGAGGTAGAAGAGCAATGGCCATTGAGCGCTCCAAGGTGCGTCATGATTTCTGCGAAACCTATGGAAATAATTGCCAGAATGTCGATAGGTATTTTTCTTTGGTCTATTACTTTTTGCTACATTCTTTATTTTTGTCTTGAAATTGTTCTGTGGTTACTTATTTGTCTCTTGACCCTTTTTGATATTTTGTTTTTCTGCATTCAGGCATTGCTTTGAGCCAGGTTCAGGATTCCTCCGGCAGTTTCTGTTTTTTTTCAAGGCACAAAACTCTGGAGATTTTGTGATACTTGTGGAGATGTGTCGTCTACTGCAGAAGTTTGCTCACAGCAGTGGTATTTCCAATATCTATGCATATTTCTTTTGTTGACCCTCTTGGTCAATTCATTCATGGGTTTGATCAGTGTGCTTTTCCTTTCTAGGTAACTCTTATGTAAGGGAAAGCATGTTCTGAGTTTCATTTGACTTAATCAGTTATTGATGGCTTTTGTACTCTTGTTTAATATGTGTAATCTTATGAGCAGTTAAATTAAAACATTGTGTGTGGAATGTCCCCTTCACCACAAATAAAATTCTCACGTCCTCATACATATACACTATATTATTATTTTTTGGCGTCAAGAACAATCTATTCTCTAGTATGTTCCCAACAATGACTGGGATCTTGCTTACAAATTCTCATCATGTGACAGGTGACATTGTCAGCCTTTTTTCTGGCGTGGACTATTCTTCTGAGCGTAATTTGGTGGATTTTAGAGTAAAGAACCTTGCATTTACTTGCATCGAGGCTATACACCACAATAGGTTATATAATAACCCTTCTTGTACAAAATTGTGATCATCTGTCGTTATCCTGGCTTTTTCAGTTCTGTTATTGAATTATTCAATTTTGCCTCCTTCTGATTTGAATGATCAGGAACCGTTTAAGCGATCAGCTCTTAGTTACTCCTGAAGAAGCTAGCATTTCAACAGCTATCTTGATGGAGGCGATGTCATTGTTGCTCGATCCTAAGCTGCCTTGGGTTTGCAAAGTAGTTAGTTATCTACAGAAAAGAAACATATTCAAACTGTTCAGAGAAATTATCACTGTGGCTAAGGTATTCTCAGGATTTCCCCATGATTTCGATCCACCCCCTAGTTCTTCTAACTTACTGCACGTTTTTGGATTGATGTTCCGTAGTTGGCATCCTCTTTTTTTTTGAAGCAATTGTGGTTTGTTGCAGGAAAGCCCAAGAGGCCAGACTATGACTGGCAGCATCGTTTCACTAGAAAGATTATTGATACTGCTAGTACCACATGTTGGCCGTGAGCCATGTTGCTGCCTTGTTGTTGATCCACGTTGGAGTTTCTTATCTACGATACTTACAATACCTTTGATATGGCAGCTCTTCCCAAACTTGAAAGTGGTTAGTCCCTGAGCGAAATATGATCTTAATGGTGAGCTTCTATTTAAACTTTGGTAAACTCATAGTTTCATAATCCAGGTCTTTGCCAACCCAAGTCTAAGTCAACACTACATTCACCAGATGGCTTTGTGTTTTCAAAAGGATACCTATGTTCTCCCAATAGATACAAGCAAAGAATTCCCTGCTTATGCTTGCCTTCTTGGTAATACGTTGGAAACTGCAAATGTGGTGTTGTCACAGCCTGAATGTTCGCTGGACACGGTAGGTTCTTAATGCAGTTTATTTATTGTCTTTTTGTGTTAGCTACTGAGAAATCATTCACTTGGATAATGTTTAAAAATGTTACAAATACTATTTTCTGGGAAAAAAACATTGTGGTCCCAGTTCTATTTGACTCTAATGTTGCTCTGTCTTCTTTCTTTATTTTGACCAGGCAATTGACATTGCATCAGTGGCAACTTTCTTATTGGAGACACTTCCTTCTGTGAAGTCATCAGAAAGAGAAAGCAGACAGAGTATGTCATTTTTTTCTTGCTATATTATCTCGCACATAGCATTGTTTTGTTATCCTAAAAAATTATTGTCCATTCTGCTCGCGGTAGTTCTTCAGTCATTCGATCTTATTCTGAA